CGAAACGTTAACGTCAGCCAATAAAGATCTGTACCAATCTTGGCCTACTGCTTAAATAATCTAACTGAAGGATTTTCAATGCTTCTAGCGAAGCGGGGATTGACGTCTTGAAACAAGGTTTAGCGATCTTTTCCTAGATCTCTAAATTTGCTCTACGCGAAGAAGACAGACGGAAATAGACGTAGCGGCGTATCAGTAGAAAAGACGGAAATAGGCGTAGCGGCGTATCGGTAGGAAAATCGTGCGTTAACGAGCGCATTCTGAAATTGTACTTCGCAGACACTGCGCCGTCTGCAAATCTCATGGGTACCTGAGCACCGTGCTCTAGCTAATTGTTTAGGTAGCAGGAGAATAGATTATTCTGAAAAAGCATCACCTATGCGGCGTTTTGTACTGTATTTGATTTGTCTGCCAGCTTGTTATTGCTCTGTTGCTTAATCCACATCTTATACGAGTCAGGAAGTTTCGTAGAATCAGAGATAAGCATAACATTATAAAATAGCTATCTATTTCTTAAATGACGAAGCCCCCACGGAAAAGCACTCGCGCAGGACGAACTATTTCAAAAGATCCCCGCCATCCTTTCTTCTTCCTCCCCTCCATCTCCCCCTGCGCATCCTCAGCCACCCATGATAGTCGATGCGACATTTCTGTTCCTGTGAGTTCAGTACATCACAAAATTCCGGTTGCTGCCGCAGAATATACTAACTTCGACCATTGTAGGCAAGGTGAATGTTTTCTACTAGTTCTCTATTTCAAAGACATACTTGTTCCTTTCTTCAGAATAAACAATATGCCTTTCACCTCTTTTCCATAATTTATACTATTTTTAAGAGAATGTGCAAAAAACTCAACGACATAAAGGAAGTTGGTAAGGTAAGTTGATGTAAACTATCGGTCTTTCACTTGTTTTAACGCTATTACTGTTGCTAGCTGGGATAATGGCATCACGTTTTATGGGATAACTGTATCAAAAAGTCTCTGAAGCATTAAGTGAAAGAACACATTTGAGTACAAGACATTCAAGCATTGGACGCAGCCAGGTGGAAGAGATGGAATACGCTACAATACTAATCGTAGCATGGTTGAAGGAGGATAGTAACGATTAGCTTAGAATGTGGAATACTGGTTGAAAATAAGTAGCACGAAACATGCAGAAGTTTCTTGAAACCCTCAGTGATTTCTGTTCTTAATGTACTTATTTATCTAAAAGATATAATCGATCAAAACGCGAGGGCGTTACTTCTGCTCAATCAAACACAGATTAGTGGAAGCTAATCTGTGAGCACAACGTTTTCACATCTTAAGCGATTCTTATTCTTTCAGAATCGCTTCAAAAAGATGTGAACTAATTTCCTCATTGTATTTACCACGGATGAGAATCATCCGTGGAGACAATGAGAAAATCATTTCTGTATGAGAAAGTCTATTCTGACCTCTGACCTCATGCGCATCAAAATCAATGGTGGAGCTAAGATTTAATAACTCTAGTTGAATTTCTCCACATGATCAAGAAGAACTCTCTCATATTGCGCTCACACTAATGCTGACGATTGTGCTGTGTTATGTTTTTCAATTATATATTTCAAAGCGATGATAGTTTCAGAAAAATATCGCTTTCGTGTACGTTAGCGATGCGACGATGACGGCTCACGCTAAAGCTTTTAGAGGAAAATATGAGGCGACTAGGTTAAGTCAAATCTAATCTCCCGTTCAATCACATTCTTACCTCAGAAGAATGAATATGAGTATAGAGATGGTAAACATATAATGGAATCAATATCATTCAGTGAAGTTTTTTCAAGAAAGATGTGGTAGTGCTGTAATGATGCAAATTTCAAGGTAAAGTATAAAATTCAAGATTCAAGATGACTTTCAAAAGTAATATGATTCGATTAGACAGACGAAGTGCACAATATTGAGCATTTGAAAACCTGTGAAAAGTCCATCTTACAGAAATGAAACAGGATCTCTTGCAAATGTGGTATTCATCAAACTATTAGAAAAACATATTTATTTTCCTCAAAAAATTATTAGTAAGATGGGTTTGACAAGAAGAGAGAGAAAAAAAAGAGTGGTACAAAGAGCAAAACTGAGCAATAAAGGATAAGTATTAACAACTTCTCTGGATTCTTGATGTCCATACATGATATAAGGGTGCTCTTGAATGCAACTGTTTTGCCCAATTTGGTTCTGGCACTGTCCATGATCGAGGAGAGTAAAAAAGGTAAGCCAAGAGGATATTCTACCAACGATTAACTTTGGCTTGTTCTAATTTGGTACAAATAACGTCACATATTACAACTCTCGCTAAGCGTGCGTGTTATAGCCAAATTAAGCGGTCTGTTGATCTAAGCTGAATACAAGTTATCGGTTATATTGAATATGTTGTTAGAGCCATCTCCGCAGTCTTATCGCTAGCTAGCGATATCCTCGGTTGCGTCTAACTAAGTACCTCTTCAAATGATTTTAATAAAACTAACCTTGGGAACGTGTGATGAAAGAACGGAGCCTGAAGTATGGCTGCAGAGATTTCTGGAAAGAAGATAGATTTAAGAGCTATTTGACCACCTTTTCAAAGTCACCGATAGAATTTAAGGATGAGTACTGCGCATTTACTACAGTTGAGCCTAAATGGAACTCGGAACGATCTACAGGTTTCGTCAGCCGTCTGAAAGAGTACTCGATGTTCCAACGACTGATTTTCTCCAACATATCGCTGTAGGATTCAGAATCGCGTATGTCAAGCTAAAGTTGAGGGTGAGCCTATTATAGTCAGAATGAATAAACAATTATCTTACGCCATTGTAACGTTCATCTAGCTTCTCGTCATCCAAAATAAAGTTTGGATAGGCAACTCGATGCTGCATTTGATCTGCTTTTTCCAAAGCCGCCTAGGTAGACATACTGGTTAATCCTCTAACAAGAAAAGTGCTACAGGATCTATAAAATGGCTGAGCCTTGAAGTTCACTTTTTCCGTCAACTGCGAGAAATCAAATTTAGAGCGTTTCCTTTCTGCTTGCATCCGCAGGTAGTCAGAAAATTTGAATTTGACTGTAACGGAAAAGGATGGTTCCCCGTTTTGGAGACTGGGTTCCATTAGGTTGTAGACTGCTATTAAAGATCAGAACACCAATTTTCTCTATATTAGTCTCCAGAACGGGTAACTATCCTTTACCACAGATAAATTCAAATTTTCCTAAAAGTCGGCTTTATTCATGCCTTTAGCAGACTATCCTAGGGATTCGCACTGGCGTCTTGACGCTAAATTATTCTTGAAGCCTGGATCTTAAATCCAAAATGACATTGTGAGACAGGAAAACTTTGTGGATTTCCTAGAACCCCTGGCGGACTGTACCAACTATTCTTATTAGCAAAACAGATACCCAGGCTTTTCCAGAGGAACGTTTTGGAATTTCACCTTTTTCAAAATTAGATTCGAGGATTGCGATCATATACTTCTCATCATATATGAACACCACATAATATTATTTTGTCACTTCTCGTGATAACACCAACATTGTCACCAAAGGAGCTTTGAATTTTTTACGTCAAAGTTGTTCGTTTAGGGAAGTGGTCGCGGTCGAAAGTCTTTTTTCAACAGAATACCCTTTAAATTTCTCATAAACAAGCTTTAGCCTGAGCATACGTCAGACAGTGAAAAGCTCCTACTTCAATTTCTTCTATTATCAACTTGCAGTTCTAGTTCGCTTATTCATCCAGTCGCTGGTGAGAAGGATCTCTCGGAATGCTTTTTGCACATCATTGATTAATCCCAAGGTAACGTTCTTGGACGCCTAAACTCCTTAAGATAAGTTGGGAAAGCATTGTGCAATCACTTTGCATCACCTGATCAAATACTTTTCTAATATACACTGCACTGGTAGCGTGCTTGAGCAGGAGCATAGTCATAATGGTGCAGTATTTCCATCTGGGTGCCTTCTGCTCTTTTCCGTACATTACTCGATGAAATTCCTGAAATTCGATTAAAGCAAAAATATTTAAAGCACTAGTGGTGTTGAAGGGAATTGAGAAATTCTTCGTTCACCTGAGAAATATCTTCGTATCTCTCACCCAGTTCTCCTGACCAACTTGAAGTATATCGCGAGAACACATAGTTTGTAATTATTCGAGGATTTGTTGATAGTAAAAGAACACTTATCCTGGACAATTTTCCTTGTATAAAAAAAGTTTGAGAAGATGTCGCTGGAAAATGATTACCTTTTCATAAAGTCGATCTCACCAATGAGAATTTCTGGATTTGAAGAAAGGTACTCTTGAGTAGCAAATGGTGCGACAGCATGAAAATATCGCAACCAGTCAACCTTAATAAAGGGATGAAAAACGTGTTTCTTGAATTTCTACAATAATAATTCTGGAAGGAGAAACTTACTAGGGGCATCAGTTTCTGCAAGTCACTAAGGTTACGGAGATTGTATAATGCGGTATAGTTTCTGCGATTTTCCTCTGCTTCTAGGATTT